GATTATTTATCTAGCATCACTGCAGGGTTTGCGGGACATCACCAGCACAGCTTTGACATGCCCTCTGACCAGAAAAGTGTGTAAATTATTATTTATAGAGGGCCACTGAAAAGTGATAATAGGAGGGAGTGGTTCACACAGCAGGGAGGGAATTTGCAAGGTGATGCTACTCATAAACATAAATTTTTGTGTCTGCTTTTGCAGACATAGTAAAAGAGAATGATGGAGTAGCACACAGACAGTTCTAAACAAAAAGCGGTGTAGATTGTGAGCAGTCTAATATTTGCTGGTGGAGTTTTTATCAGAAGTTTAATTATTTCCAATTGTGCTACAAGTGACTGCTTATCTATTTGAATGTTTACTAAACCATAAAAATTCAAGAACGGGTAGCTTAACTTCCTCAAGTTATAAGTCAGAGAAAATAAACAAAGAGGGATAAATAAAATTGTTATTTTGCATGTTAATTGAGAAATTTTGGAATTGCTTTATTAATGACACTACACTGTATATATTATGTATACATTATATATTATGTCACGTATGTTGAATAGTATTTAAAAGCTTTGCAAGCTTTTAAATGTGTATAATATATTATACTGTCCAGATGGTCTTCTCTCAGATGTCTTGGTTTTTAAGCATTTTTAATTTGTTTTGTGAGTAAGTTATCTCTGTAAAAAGCTGCCATGTGTTTTCTTTGGAGTCTTCTCTGAACTAGTTTATGTTGCCTGACATGTCCTAAACCCAGTCCTGCTTTGTGTATTTACAGATATTAGAATGTGAATTTTACCTTTTGGAACTGATGGTAAGTACAGAAAGATTTGTGTCTTTAGTGCTGGCTTGACTGAGTGTTGTGTTGTTGATTTATTGATGTAATATTTTTCTATGTTTTCAGGACTGTTGCCTGATTGTGTACCACCCCTACAGACCACTGTTGCAGTATGTGCAGGATATGGGACAGGAGGACATGCTGCTGCCTCTGGCCTGGTACGATACCATCTGCTTGACATTTGTCGCTTTTGTTTATTCGATTTAGTTGTTTTTGTGTGTCCTCACTCTGTGCCTGCCCTGCCAATGTCTCTTTACCAGGCGAATAGTGAATGACACGTACAGGACAGATTTGTGTCTGCTCTACCCTCCCTTCATGATCGCCTTGGGTAAGACTTGTACCCATGCATTTCAGATTGTTCTCTAATATAGTTACTGATTTTAAATAAGCTTTAACCTGATCAGTTTTTCTTTTCCTCCCACAGCCTGTCTGCATGTTGCCTGTGTGGTGCAGCAGAAAGATGCCAGACAGTGGTTTGCAGAGCTCTCGGTCGACATGGACAAAGTCAGTTTGATATCAGTTTCAGTGTTGTAGAGTTTTACCCATTCGTACTTAGCCTCATAACATATAGCAACTTGAGGTTCCACACATTGTGACATGGCAGGCACATTGTTGACTGTTTAAATCAAGTTTTTACATCTTTGTTCTCACTTTGCCACCATAAACTGCTGATGAGTTAACTGCCTTTAAGTAGCATGAGGTCATGAAATTGACCTAGTTATTAAAATCACTGCTATCCTTTTATGTACTGTATGTGTTTGTGCTAGCAATATTTTGTGCTCAAATATTAACCACATAAAGTGATATTTTTGCTGTGGATTTGAACATGTAACATACTGACACAGACGGATCATGTCATTCACTTCATGTATATGTTTTTACATAAGAAAATGCTCATTTTGTTCAATGACTACTGTATATTTTACTTACAGGAAAATGACCCATTTTACTTTGATTTAACATTTGTGAGTTTTCATTACTGATGTTGCGTTGCCTCACGTTGTCTTGTTTTTTGTGTGTCTATTTTTTGTACAGATCCTGGAGATTATCCGTGTCATTCTGAAGCTGTATGACCAGTGGAAAAATTTTGATGATAGAAAGGAGATAGCTGCTGTCCTAAATAAGATGCCAAAACCCAAACCACCTCCAAACAGGTATGTAGTGTACTTGTTTCTTTCTCCTATAAATCCTATATTTTAAAACACACAGGACAGATTAAGTAGAGTAAAATATCAATCATATATATTTCACCTCTGTAATATTCTTGATATTTAAATTGAGCTATTTGTGTATATATTTTAGCTATTTCTTATATTTTGTAAACTTTGTAATATATTGTATTATTTAATTAGTTTAGTGTGTTACTGTTATTGTTTTGGAGCAACTGTAACTCACATAATTTGCTTAGGGATTATTAAAGTATTCTGATTCTGACAAACCAATTTATAAAAGAAGTTGGGAGGTTAGACCTTTGTGCAAATAAAAAAAAAAATGCAAGGATTTGGTGCAAAAACAGAGATTTTGATAAAGTGGTTTGATCAATACAGTTTTAGTTTCAACATCTGGTTTGTTGCCACTACATATTTTCAGTGTTTAAGTGATTTTGAAATGACTTTTATCTCAGTTCATGTGTACATTTTACAGTGTTTTTCCTTTTTTATGCAATTTTTTTTTTAAATAATGTGAACAACACAGTGCTGCCTGTACAGTGGCTTGCAAAAGTATTCGACCCCTTGAACTTTCCCACATTTTGTCACATTACAGCCACAAACATGAATCAATTTTATTGGAATTCCACCTGAAAGACCAACACAAAGTGGTGTACACGTGATAAGTGGAACAAAAATCATACATGATTCCAAACATGTTTTACAAATAAATAACTGCAAAGTGGGGTGTGCGTAATTATTCAGCCCCCTTTGGTCTGAGTGCAGTCAGTTGCCCATAGACGTTGCCTGATGAGTGCTAATGACTAAATAGAGTGCACCTGTGTGTAATCTAATGTCAGTACAAATACAGCTGCTCTGTGATGGCCTCAGGGGTTGTCTCAGAGAATATTGGGAGCAACAACACCATGAAGTCCAAAGAACACACCAGACAGGTCAGGGATAAAGTTATTGAGAAATTTAAATCAGGCTTAAGCTACACAAAGATTTCCCAAGCCTTGAACATCCCACGGAACACTGATCAAGCAATCATTCAGAACTGGAAGGAGTATGGCACAACTGTAAACCTACCAAGATAAGGCCGTCCACCTAAACTCACAGGCCGAACAAGGAGAGCGCTGATCAGAAATGCAGCCAAGAGGCCCATGGTGACTCTGGACGAGCTGCAGAGATCTACAGCTCAGGTGGCGGAATCTGTCTATAGGACAACTATTAGTCGTGCACTGCACAAAGTTGGCCTTTATGGAAGAGTGGCAAGAAGAAAGCCATTATTAACAGAAAACCATAAGAAGTCCCGTTTGCAGTTTGCCAGAAGCCATGTGGGGGACACAGCAAACATGTGGAAGAAGCTGCTCTGGTCAGATGAGACCAAAATGGAACTTTTTGGCCAAAATGCAAAACGCTATGTGTGGCTGAAAACTAACACTGCACATCACTCTGAACACACCATCCCCACTGTCAAATATGGTGGTGGCAGCATCATGCTCTGGGGGTGCTTCTCTTCAGCAGGGACAGGGAAGCTGGTCAGAGTTGATGAGAAGATGGATGGAGCCAAATACAGGGCAATCTTGGAAGAAAACCTCTTGGAGTCTGCAAAAGACTTGAGACTGGGGCGGAGGTTTACCTTCCAGCAGGACAACGACCCTAAACATAAAGCCAGGGCAACAATGGAATGGTTTAAAACAAAACATATCCATGTGTTAGAATGGCCCAGTCAAAGTCCAGATCTAAATCCAATCGAGAATCTGTGGCAAGATCTGAAAACTGCTGTTCACAAATGCTGTTCATCTAATCTGACTGAGCTGGAGCTGTTTTGCAAAGAAGAATAGGCAAGAGTTTCAGTCTCTAGATGTGCAAAGCTGGTAGAGACATACCCTAAAAGACTGGCAGCTGTAATTGCAGCAAAAGGTGGTTCTACAAAGTATTGACTCAGGGGGCTGAATAATTATGCACACCCCACTTTTCAGTTATTTATTTGTAAAAAATGTTTGGAATCATGTATGATTTTTGTTCCACTTCTCACGTGTACATCACTTTGTACCGAATACTTTTGCAAGCCACTGTAGTTAGTGTCATACTGACGTAACACTGACATGGGGATTTCCATGTTAGAGGTGGCTGAAAAGATGGAGATGATTTAAAAAATAGTCTCAGGTGAAAATGATTGTAGACGGTTGTCTCATCAGAATGTGTATTTTTTTTTTTTTTTTTAAATTGCCAAATTTGTACACAAACGAGGATTTGTCTTGGTGTCATGGTACATAAAAAAAAAAAAAAATCAAAACTGTGGTACAGAAATGGAATATATGGTGTTTACAGTATCTTTAAATATTATTATTAATCCTCATAACAGAAAAAAATTATATATATACACATACACGCTAACTACCGACAGATATTAGAATAGAAATTAAGAAATATGTAAAGGTTTGGGGAAGGTTGTGCAAAGTGTAGGTAGAAAATTGTTGTACATGTGAAGATGAGGTTTGAGCTTCTTTTCTCTGGAAATGGTTTCACAAGTTAATTGTTTTTAATTGCTGTGGGTCTGCTTTCATTAGTACAGTATGTTCTTGTACACTTGGACTCCTCACAGTCTATCTCAGTGACCTGTATGCACTTCATTTTTCTCTCTGTCTGCAGTGAGAGTGATCAGAGCTCCAATGGGAACCAGAGCAACTCCTACAGTCAGTCTTAGCATGCCGTCTGTATTTCCGTGGGAATCCATAATGTCGACGTGGAGGATCTTCTAGTAATGTCACAGTGCAACCATTACAGTGTCACTTGGAAACAGTCACAATCAGAAATTTGATCCTCAATCAACCCCCACTCCCCAACAAACTGAGTGTCTTTACCTTTTCCTCCTTGTCTGATCATTATGGGTTTGTGGACTGAGCGAGAAACACGGAAATGCCTGCAGTGAACAGCAAATCGAATACAACAAGCCATGACGTTGTCTCGATTAGGCTCCAACTTGAAACGAACTTAAAAGCCAAGGAACATTTTGGGGTGGGAGGGAATGTAGGGGGAACAGATGTAATGGTTCAGTAGACACTCGCCATTGTGATGATCCTGACATCCTTGAACAGTCCAGAGGAGTGAGTGTTTACACGTCGAGCTCCGTGGGATTTGAAAAAACAAAACTTGATCACGAGCACTGTGCGTGCATGTCTGTGTCTGTGTGTACTACATGTGAGCGGCCACTCTGGGTGGGTTTTAATTCCTCAGGGATTGCAGTAGACTTTTTTTTTTTTCCTGTTAATTGATTTTGAGCTTACAGGGTGGATCTTATTGGTTATCACCCTGTTCAGCTGTGATGGGATGCACCCTGCCCTGTTAAGTGTCTCTGCTGGCTGATTGGTTAACTGTGGCTGGAGAAATGCCAAGAGAAGCTCCTCATGAGGGCACAAACGAGCTCTTTGAATACAAGAATTTACTGTTTTGAATCATGACAACCCCACCAACCCCCACCTCCTTGTAAATAGCCTTATGATACTTTTCTTTTATCTTTCATGCTTTTGCTTATATAAGAAAAGTTTAATGGAAATCATGAGCTGGTTTGTGCTTCAGATAAAAGTGCCCCTGTTTGTTTGTTTTATAGTAATTTTTTTTTTTCCATTTACCCTACTTTAGTTGTATAGTGCATTATCTAACACTTTTTTTTTGGAAAAACCTTTGCTTTTAATTCTCACGGAACATCTTTTTTAAAAATGTTTTTCTGCGAAGTTTTGGTTGTACCTTATTTTAATTTACTCTATTCCCTGAATTTAATCACTGAGTTGTGGCAATATGTGTGTGTAAATGTCTCTATATTTTTGTGATGTAATACAGCGGAAGCTGTGTGTGTGGCTGTACTTAAAAAAAGGTGCTTGAAAGCCTTACAAAATAAAAGCTGCTGGTTAAAGAGAGAACCCCTCATGAAAGCACATTGTCCCATTCAGGTGAACTGCACAGTGTGCTGCTATTGTTGCTTATTATTATTATTTTTCTTTCAGGCCTTTTCTTTTTTTTTTCTTTTAAAGAAAGAAAGAAAAACAGATGTGGCACGGTGCCCTCTGGCCTTTTTCCTGCCATTCAACTCATCTATTGTTGGTGTCCACTTTAAAATAGGGTGTGATCCTATGATCCTACATGGATATATCTAGTTCTAGTTAAAGAACAAAAAAAAATGTTATTTTCAAGGCTCATTTCGAAGCTCAGTTATGGTAATAAAGTCTATTATGTATTGTGTACTTAACAAAGTGGGCCTCCATTTTTGTGTAATGCACATTGAGGCATCTTCCAGCATGTTACAAAAGTCATAGGAAGTCTTTTTACCAGCAGCAGTGTCTGCTCTGAGCAGGGGCTGTGGTGGGACCCCTAGTGTTGATTACAAAGAGTGACAGCTGACGTGTACTGGTAGAAAATTCGGAATGTTCACAGCCTGGGGCTCCAAGTGGCGACATTAAAAATGAGGATAAATTGTACGTTATGATTATGAAAATGAAGCGCAGAGGTGCAGTAAACTCTGGTAGTTGACGCCTTCGGGGTACAGTCAGTTCCCGTGACGTCGCTTTAGCTGCATAAGAGAATTTCTGAGGGCAGCGGAGGTAGTATGGCAAGCTATGTGATGTCTCCTTCAAAATAAAGGTCTAAAGTCAAGATTATATATGAACTGACAAAATGCGGAAGCAAAGCTATTTTTAAGTGCTTCTTCATGAGTACTTAACCATAACGTAACCGACAGGGAATTAAGTTTAAAATAAGTGTAACCCCAAAGAATTAATCATGGTCAAAAGATACAAAAGCCTGTTTGAAGTTCGACTTTTAAAGCTACTACGCTTCAGTAAACTTGAAACAAATCTTCATATTTTCTCATTCTCTGTGGCACACCTGTTCATTTTTTGTGGCCTTTTATTGCCACAAATATTGTGCTGTTTCTAATATTTTTATTAGCACTGTTGCCTCATTTATAAGAATTTTATCTGTTTTAATAGGTTAGATACAAAGTATTGTCAAAAGGGAAGGGATTTTGTTGTCTGTTGCCACTCATTCATTTGGCTGTCCACTAGTAAAGTAGCCTTATTATTTTGTAGTAGTTTAATAATGGTTTGTATTTAGCTTGGGATTTATCTATTTTTGTTCGGCACTTTTCTTGACATTACTCGAATTGTTTTGCAAAGGATGACCCGCAAATCCACTTTTATATTGAAAGGCATAACCGGAAACCCTTTTGTGTTTCTCTCACTCTTGACAGTAATTATAAAAAGGGGGACATAACCTGGGAGCTCCGAGCGGGCTTCAGAGAAAGTCAACCCCGCTACGGGGACGGGCTCCGGGCGGGATGCTTGTGTCCGGTCGGCTGGTCCTCGTGCCGTCGCGTCTCACCTGCATCCGCGTGCACTGATGAAGCCCCCGCTGATGAAGCTCTTGGCTGCCAGAGTGAGGCGGAAAGTGGCCAGAGACAGAGAGCATGTACTGGCGTGTCGGGTTCGCCTGGACTCGGTCGTGTGTGGTTGATCTCGGTCCGAACCAGAGCCTCTCCTCCGGTCTGCTGGGGTCCGATGAGCAGCTCTCGTTTTACGGGTACATCATCGCGTACCCACTGCAGGACTGCGGCGGGATCATGTCAGCTTTGGGCTCGGACTCGTGGTGGCGGAAAACACTGTATTTGACCGGAGGGGCTCTGCTCGCTGCCGCTGCTTATCTGCTGCACGAACTGCTGGCCATCAGGTACCAACAACAACAACAACAACACAGGGACTGCCAGAGAGAGGCAGACCTCAGGATCCCTGTACGCAGGCCTCCCAGGCCAGAGCACAATCCGTGTGGATTTGATCTGCTCATATTTTCACTCCAAAGCTGTATTTTCCACTGAGGTCTGATATTACTTAATCTCGTCTGATTGGGCTGGGTGAGAGTGGAGACAGGGGAGAAGGAGTCGTGAGTGGGGGTGGGGGAGTTGTGATGTAACGGAACCTCCACCCCTTGAGCTTCCTCCTCATAAACACACACATATTAGGGGAGATTTCCATCTTCGCTAGCTTATTTCTGTGATTAGTGACATGATAATAGTTTATTAGTGTTATTGTATGTCCGTGTGCTACCACGGCCTTCACATAGCTCTGCTGCCAAATGAAAGGACATTAGAGGCAGTAGGTCGCTTTCATTAGTCTCTGCTAGAAGGACGAGGGAGGTGATGGAGGTTAACACTCCCGCTGGTGTTTAGGTCCAGTCTAAACGCTGCAGTGGTGTGTGGGTCTTTTATAACCTCTGATGTAAACACCTTGAATCGTGAAGGTTGCGGGAGGGGATGTGGCAGCTTTAAAGTAGAAAGAAGCGCCGTGTGCTTGATTATTCATTTTCAGGGTGAAAGCTTTGACTGAGCGAGTTTATTTCTTCGATTTACCCGCAGTCCAGGCCAGGGTCTGTGCTATGTTACAGTTTAAAGGGTACTTAGTGTTACTGCAAATGGCACTGGACGATGTGCTTTTAAGATGAGGAAACAGAAGCTTCCTCTGCGGTTTTTTTTGTTGGTTTTTTGTACTTGTATGAGCGGATATGTTGCAGTTTCCCCCTGCCTCCCTTTCTCTACATCTTCCTGTCAGCAGCCATGCGTGCTGTAGGTGATCCTCTTCTATTCTGGTGTCAGCGGCTATTTAAGCACCGCACTCAGCCGCCTGCTTGTTTGTCGTTTCAGCACTTTACACGGCGGACAGCTCCTTGTCCTAATTCTGCATCCTCTCCGCGTGAATGTGCTGCTTTTCGTCTGGCTGTGGTTGTGGCAGTTTTGACTTTAACCGGTCGGTGATTCGTTATTGTAATGTTACAGTTTTCGTGCAGACAGCCCACGTGATGCACATACTTACGACCTTTTCATTTTTATTTTTATTTTTTTGCTGACGAAAGCAAGAGAGTAACTTAATAAAAACTAAAGCAGGATAAAGCAGGAGGACATTAACTGTGAGGAAATGTACTGACAGTTTCCTCAAATAATAAAAACCAGATCAGAATAATCTGGAGAGCGGAGAGCCAATCAGAACAGCCGATGAGTATGGAAGTGATTCAGTCAGAAGGTTAGAGTCGCATATTTGATCTGGCCCCGGAAACAGTGCAGCAAAATTGCTCATTTTGATATGATCCAATACCAAGTAAATACTGGGCCACTATTGCCGATACCAATATCAGTACCAATACTGATTTCAGTGTATAAAGGCAGTTTATGTAGGGGAGAGTAAGTGTGTCATGACTAATGAGACGAATCACTATCAATTTTCAAATTTTAGACCACTGAATCGCTGTGATTTTTACTTTCCACAATAATTAGTTAACACAATAAAAACACAACGTTCACCTTTTCATGGATATGAAACTGTGTTGTTGTCGTTTTTTGTTTGTTTGCTTTTTGGAAACTTTTTGGAGTGCAAATGTTCCTGTCTCTAACGGACTTTTTTCAAGTGTGCTTTACGCTGTAAATAAATCCATGACAGTCAAAACAAAAAGGTTTCAAAAACACAATTCAGAGGGCTACATACCTTACTTAGAGGATGGAAACAGAGTATCAGCGCTCTCGTGCTAGTATCAATCCAATACCAGTTCCAGCGTTGGTATTGATGCTATCCATATTTGGATCGATCTGCCCACTACTAGGTACAGCTAGCGCCCATGACCCCCGTTTCTCACGGAAATGCAACAAAATTCTAATGCTTGGTAGGAAGAGAAGAGTAGACATATGGACATAATTTACATTTGATGTCAAGGAAAACAGGACGCTGGAAAAACTCTCAACAGTAAAACACAACAATTTTTACACCAACATTTTTATATTTTGTCCCCTGAATCAGCTTCAGATCTAGTCTGCTATAATCTTTAGATATTTGGCCAACTAAAACTAGACTGAAAGTAAAAGATTTGAAAAAAATATGGCTAAAACTAAATAAAAATGTGCTGTCCAAAATAATACTGCTTCTGAGACTTACCTTAACCATAAAATCTGCTAAACTACTTTAAGTCTATCTTTGTATGCTCCCCAAAACTGGCTAAATACATACACCAACCTTATTACTCTAACAATAACCACAAAAATAAGTGCTTTATGAGCAACTATGATGGCTATCTCCATATTTGTTTGTTCATGGACTCTTCTACAGTTGCAGTATAGTTTTTTATCTTGTAATGGGCTTTTGGCCAGACTTAGTTCATCCACTGTATGAAGCTAATAGCTCTTCTCCCTTTAAGGCCACCCTCCAAGCCAGATTTCCTCTGATTGGCTGCCCTTTGTAAACCCGTGTGCCTGTGCCAAAACTGACTATTCAATGATGCCCACTCTCACTGACATCAGAGGGGCTAATAACATCAAATAATAGACAAAACTACACTCTATATATAGTTGATACAAAATACTTGGCTAACACTCATCCTAACTTAAATTTAAACATGGTCTAATGTTATATCAAGTGTTTGTACATCTAAGATCTAAAGATTTGTGTCATACCGACTTCCTTTTTGTTCCCTAAAAGCGGGAACAGCCTAATTGCTTCCCTGTTTTCAGCTATAATATGAAGTAGACTACTAACAGCCGGCTATGAGGATGGTATTAGTCTTCTAATCAAAGTGAAAAGCAGGGATGTAGTCGAGGCTGATAGATTGGTCTTAATCCATCATATTTACAATGTAGCATCAAGAGAAAAGGCTAAACCTCTGATGAAGAACACAATCCAAATGAAGAAATGCTGAAAACTGCAAAGGACTAAATGTCTATGTAGAAATATAGAAGACGAGTGCTATGTCCATGTATGCAGTTGACTCACACCCAACCCACACACCCACACTCTACATTTTAGTGTTTAGTTGTTGTTTTTTCATAACCCTTGGAGTGTATGTGACATGCAGCTCTTTCCTTCTTTGCCTCATACAGAAAGGAGGAAGAGCTGGACTCTAAAGATGCAATCATACTCCACCAGTTCTCCAGGCCCAAAACTGGCGCCCCATCTCTGTCGCCTTTCTGCCTTAAGCTGGAGACCTACCTCCGTATGGTTGACCTGCCCTACCAGGTATGACTGTGTTTACGTGGCTGAATTTATTAAAAATAATCTCTCCTGCAAAGGTCACTCAGTTTCTTTTGCAGCATTTACCAACCGCTTTGAGAATTTTCTCATCATCTTCCCACCCCCTTTTCCTTAATCCTCTTCTAGAACTACTTTGATGGGAAGCTTTCGCCGCAGGGAAAGATGCCATGGATCGAGTACAACCAGGAGCAGGTGTGTGGGACAGAATTCATCATCGACTACTTGGAGGAGAAGCTGGGCGTGAGCCTCAACAAGAGCCTGACACCCCAGGAGAAGGCCTTATCACGCGCCATCACCAAAATGGTGGATGAGCACTTCTACTGGTGAGGGACCGCTGCGATTCAAGCTGATTGTTTTTGTATTAAATGAGTGCATCTGTGTGTCTGTATATATAAATATATATGCATCTCACAGGACCATAGCTTACTGTCAGTGGGTGGACAACCTGGAGGAGACCCAGAAGATGCTGTCGGTGAGCGGTCCACTGAGTGACCTACTCAAGTGGATCCTGAGTCACCTGACAGGTGGGATCGTTAAGAGGGAGATGTATGGTCACGGGATTGGACGGTTCTCTACCGAGGAGGTGTACGCCTTAATGGAGAAGGACATGCGCACCCTGGCCACCCTGCTAGGTGAGGGTTTTTTTTCCAATTTAAAATAGTATGAGTCAGCCTATGGACAACTGAATCTATTTAAGTATGCATTAAGGTCAGAAGTATGTTTTTCCAGAAGACAAATGGAAAACACGTTTTTTTCTTCCTTTTTTTTTGCTTTGTTTTGTAAATCTACAAATCACTTTGTATCGTGAAGCTCGATCTCAGTGTGTGTCACCATTTTGCTTGCATATTTTACCCCAGGGCCAGATCAGTGGCTTTTCAATATGCGCCTTGAGACCTATAACCAGAGACATCACGTTTATTAGCAGCAGTAGATGGAAAAAAACTGACGGGATTGCTCAACACTGACCTGCTGTGGTAGAAACTTAGCATTGCAATCACTGTCAAACCGGTCAGTTCATGGTAGACGATTTGCAGTTGTTTGGCCATGACAGGTGGCTTCTCAGGTTAAATGTTTTTCACTAAAGGTGTCAGTTAATCTGTTACCAGTATGTGTTTATTTATTATAAAACAGAAGAAAGGGGAATTCAAGGGGGGAAAGCTTCACTGTTTGACTTATATTTTTCTGTCTGCTGTCTAAGGTGATAAGAAGTTCATTATGGGCTCTAAGCTTTCAACAGTAGACGCCGCAGTGTTTGGTCACCTGGCCCCTGCTATGTGGACGCTACCGGGATCGCGGCCAGAGCAGCTAATCAAAGGTGAATTCACCAGAAAGGCAGTCTACCTAATTTCAAGCAAACTTGCACTTGAGTGATGTATGTACAGTATATACAACTCCAGTTCCAAAAAAGTCAGGATGATGCGTAAAGTGTAAATCAAAACAGAATGCAATGATTTGCAAATCTCTCAAATCCATATTTGAATCATAATAGAACACAGGAAACATATCAAATTTTTTTCTTTCTGAATTTTCAATGGCTCTATGAAATGTAGAAATGTGAACTTTTGCATGTTCTAATTACACATTCAACACAGAATTCATATATTTGAACACTACGTATGAGAGGAAAACAACACAATGTCCTTTAGCGAAAATCATAATCAACTGATGCAAGATGAGCAACATCAAAATGAAAATGAAATTCACTAAACTGTAAATCAAGTTATTTGTTTATCTAAGAGAATAAGAATAAAATTAATAATAAGAAACTCTCTGATCTTTGACTTAGACACTTTTTTTTAACCTCTTCTGCTAACCTTTAAAGCTCATCAGTGCCTAAAAGGACCAATGGAAAAGTGATGAATTATCATTTTATTACTATTTATACATAAAAATGTGTTTTCTTCTTCTTTTAAAATCTAAGTCATCATTACTGGAAAATAATATTTCAGTTAGGACCACTTTAGTCAAAAGAAGATGTTATTTTCCATATGATGTATACACAACAGCCCAAGATGGGATTCAAATGAGCAACTGGTGTTTAGGTGGGTTGCAAAGCAGCTTGTAGGCAGTTGCACAGAAATCCGCAGTAAAGTGTTTCCTGAGCTATCAGCTGCCGTTGCTATTTGCAGTTTTATGGACTGTGAGATCTAATCCTATACTCACTTATATCACTGGTGTCTCAGTGAGATACCTTATGGGCGCTGTACCTACTGAGATGTTTGTTCCACCCAGGTGAGCTGATCAACCTCGCCATGTACTGCGAACGCATCCGCCGGCGATTCTGGCCCGAGTGGTTCGTCGACCTGGAGGACTTCCGCTACAACGACACCACAGAGGGCAGCGACTCGCCCTCGAAGCTCCCCGACCTCGGCCTCTACTCCCGCACGGACACTTTCCAGGACGATACGCGCTCAAACACTTTACACACTCACACGCCACAAGACCCGCCATCGTCTCAGAGTGACCCCACGGGCCACTCGCTGTACGACTCTGACATGGACACGGAGTGCTCTGAAATAGACCAGCCGAAGTGCTGACGAAACACACACACACACTTATAGTACACACTACATATAGGCACGCCGCAGGAGGGAGCTGCATCCCACCTATGTTCTACCTCTTAGAACAGAAAACAAGAGGGGGGTGTATTCGGCGTTCGCCGGCCGGGACGTTGAGGGTGTAGAAGGGTAAAGTGCCAACAGTAGTGGAGGAAAGATTGCAGAACAAGGAAAAAAAGGTACAACAGAGATGAAAATGGAAAAGAAGTGAAGAGAAAAAAAAAAGAAATGTAGGTTTAAAAGTGAGAACTAGACGCATTCAAATCAGGAGTAAATGACGCAGTTGCCGAGAAACTCCTCCACATCAACTGCAACCTTCTACCCGTTGTCCGTTGCGTGCCCACCGTTGTCCCTCGTAGCAGCTCGCACCACCCAGCAGCGTTTTGCGTCTGTGTGTGTGAGTATTTGTGAGTGCATGTGTGTGTGTGCGTGTACCAAATGAACCTTTAATACATGAAAGGAACTGTACAGAATCCATCAGAAAGAAAACATTTCAGTGTAAATATATAAACGAATCTGACTTCATTCTCAGATTTAATAGATAAAAACTGTATTATATATGAGTATAAATAATATAGATAGGCTGGAACTATAGTATTATGTCGTCTGTCATATGGTGTAAATATTCTAGGTGTTTCTCTTATGAATTCCTACCCTGCTGGTCTAAGATCAGCTAGAGGAACCCTGTGAATTCTTTTACTGTATGTATCCGATTACAGGGATATTACAGTATTTAAACAGTTGAGAAAAGAAAAATCATAAAACATAATAGGTAGTAAACTCCCAGTTTCCATTAACATCTTGTCTGACTGAGGCAATTATTTTGCCTCCAAAAAAATCCCCCAAATCTTAATGTACGCTGCTGTATTTAGGAGATTTTACATGCATTCAAGCATTGAGCGCACGCCAAACAATCGTGTAGATATAGAGCAATAGATAGAAGACTGAAGACTCAAAGTGCATGGCTGATTCAGGCCCATAAGTCTCTCTTAGCACCCCACATTGATAATCTTTAGCTACATTTCTTAGTAAGCCTAGTGTGGTGGAACGATGTAGCTTGTTTGTCGGTGCCTCTGGCCAAATCAGCCGTGCGAGGATGTATCCAATGGATTATGGAAAAAAAGCACTTGTTTTCTTTCAGCATTTCTGTCAGAAAATGTTACGTAAAGCAATAAGAGACACAGACACAGGTTCAATTTATGCCAGGCTGTGATAATTGAGGTGTGTGATGGTAAGGGGCAGGCTCTATGTGCGCTTGTCGTTCATCAAGCGCACGTACCGACAATGTTTTGTATGCGTGGAAGAAAGGGCGAAATACTATTTATGTTCCTGTGCATGTTAGCCTCACATCATTTTAAAAATATTTAGCTCTAGAAGTTTGTTGACTGTACTTACAGTCCTGGTATAAAGAAAGCACACCCTCTTTCAACTCTAAGGTCAGAAAACATGTCAGGACATATTAAAAAGTCACAAGGTCTTAACAGATTCTAAAATAATGTATATATAGCCTCAGGTGAATACCAACACATGACTTATTACACTGTGTTGTTATTTAAAAAAAATAAGCTGAAATGCAGAAGCAGGATGTGAATAACCAAGTATACCCCATGGTCCAGTAGCCATCTTTAAGCATCAGTAATCGGACGTGATTGTTTTCTCCATGACTGAATCAGTCTCTCACGTTGTTGTGGTGAAATTCTTTTCATGTGGCTGCAACACAGACCGACATCATCACACCTCCACTCCTGTACTGGACAGTTGGTGTGACATATTTGTGTTTATTTGCTTTGTTTGGTTTTGTCCAAACATGGTGCTGTGCATTATGGCCAAACACCTCCACTTTAGTCTCATCTATCCAAACGGCATTGTTCCAGGTGTCTTGTGATATGTTTATATGCAACTTTGCAAACGTTAGCCTTGTTGTCAGGTTCGTGTCATATTTTAAAAGGAATGGGCAAACGAGTTACCAGGAGAAAGTTCAGTCTTTTTCTAACTGTCCTGTCAAGAACTGTAATGTTTAACATGCTAACTGAGGCCTGTAGAGTCTCAGATTTAGCTCTTTGTTTTTTTCAGTTTCTGTAAACACGGCACAGCCGGACTTTGGGGTGAATTTGCCAGGATGTCCACTCCTGGGACGACTGACAAATGTTTTCCCCTTGAGATTAATCTTTCTCACTGTTGAATGACAGACTTCAAATTGTTTATAACCCTTCTCTATGAACTTTGCAGAAGTCTTCGCTCCTTGGCAGTGTGTTAATGCAAACAAGCGGCAAAACCTTTTCCTTTCAGAGAATTGCTCGCACTTCCTGATGATCAGTTAATGAAGTGCATTTGATTAACAGCATCCGGTTGCTACTTCTGTGGAAGCAGTGAGGGTGTACACACACTGCATCTGGCTTAGTTTTAGTTAAGTAAATAATGACATGGTGTAATAATGTATGTGTTATTTTTCACATCAGGCTGTAGTTACCTCATTTAAGGATCTGTTAAGGACCAGATGTCCTGATGCGCAAAACTGTAAAACTTAGTGTGGGTGTTCTTTCTTTTTCACACGACTGTACCTGAGTTAGTTAGGTGAACTTAGCAATCACAGTCAGTCCCAGACATTTTATTCGACCTGTCCTACACTCTGTCCATAACGGAGTTCCAGAGTTGCTGAAACTAAAGGTTCTGTTAGGGAACTTTAGGGGAAATTACAGATCTCACAGTAAACAAATTGTGGATGTGATCAGTAATTACAGTTGGAAAAACTGCAATTTAAACCCAGATGAGAGGCCTTTAATGGGCGTATACATGATGTCAGCCAGTAAGTTACACTAAAATATATTTGGCGTAATTTTAACAACTGCATCTCCAGTTAGTCATTTGTCCACCAGAGAGCACTGGAAGCAATTTTTTCCAAATATGCTCACAACTCCCGCTGCTCTCAGTTCTAATAACCACATTTATAGGATAACATTAAAAATGTCTTTTATGCTATAATACGTTGCTTTTGTATGTTTGAGTCTTTCAAATGCTCAGATTTGTCTCCCAAATGTGCAAGCGTGGCTTCGTTTGTGGGGATGCTGCATGTATGTGAGACTAGAATTAAAAACAGATGTAGCATTAACTTACCTCTAATTCGAAAGAAGAAGCAACAATCCTACATAACGAAGGGAACTGATGGGGAAAGAGTCCAAAGGATGAGAGGCCTTTTTATTTACTTTTTGATCCTTAAGGCACTATTACGATTCTGATGTCGTTTTAAAACCATGAGTTTGAATGTGATGATGCCTCTCTGTTGAATTCTGCTCGATAAAACAATGCCATAAGTTGTTGGTCCAAACTCTGAGTCTGATATAAGCCTTTTGTGGGGACACAGCAGACACTGAAGCCTTTATGGGTGTGTGTGTGTGTGTGTGTGTGTAAGTGTGTGTGTTCAGCAGCTGAATTTCAGTGGAGTAACAGACTGAAACTAAGAAGCTAATGAACTAAAAAGTTTGGTTTGGTGTCTTAAAACCCCTGGCCTGCATGCTATTGCCTTTTAACGTCAGTAGTCAGATTCAGCCTGAAGCTAAACTGTTTACTTCATACCAGTGCCAGTGTATGACTTCTGTTTTTGTATGTTACATTTATTTATATATTATATTTAGTTTATGCTATTTCTATTAATTTAGTAAGATGACTGATGTGCTTGAATTTGATAAGTAATTCTACTTTTTTTCTACATTTTGCACTTTAGTTATGTTTACACGTGTTATTTTTCTATGTCTGAAAATCACTGTCAGACTAATGTATGCATGGGTGTATTAGTGCGCTGCTAGATTTTCTTCAGGCTTCTGCTGACATATAACTCTTATAAAAGCTACACATGTCCATGCAAGTCACAGCAGTGGTTGCATGTATATCCACAACCTGGAAAGTTTTCCAGCTCATACATGCGGTTTGCTGCATGTCTGACATTTAGTGCAGACTCTGCCTTTACAAGACACAATAACTCAGCTTCACCCCGCAGTGATTTATGTTCACTTGAAGCCGAGATACCAAACTGACACTCGATCTTCTGTAAGCAGGGTGAGGTGAGTCATCCTGCTGATCGGCTGATCATCAGTGTCTCCTCTCTCTCGTGCGACTTCACCTCTGGCAGTACAAATTGCAAAAGTCCTCCTGATAAGAGTCTGTTGCCAACTCTGTCTGTCTCAGTGTTCCTCTGCATTTCGAGGTGAGAAGTCGGGGTTTAAGCCCCGCCCTGCGCGTCACTGTTCCCATTCTACCCCGATTCCTGCTTGTAGACTTGTAGAAGCCACATTGCGCTGTTGTCTTGATGTTGTGCGTGCGGAAAAACACTTGTGGTATCTTGTTGGACTGTAAATAAGTGAGCCAGAAAAAAACCAAACTAAATATATAATTTATAAATGTATATACACACATACATATATATATATAATATATATATATATGTGTATGTATGTATGTAGGAAGACAGAGAGAATGAGATAAATGAATATGACCTGAAAGAACATGCTCTGCAAGGGTTTAAAAAAAAAGAGATTCTTATGAATGTATCATAAACAGAGATAAAATGCTGTATGACAATGGATTACTTCTAATATTTCATTAAATATAACTGCCATATTTTCCTCTGGTTTTGTTTCTGTCATTGTGTGGATTGCTGCATGCATGAAAAATTAGAATATTTCTGCATGAACTGTTCAGTATCAACATGTTGAACTGGGTATACTCTGGCATATCTATCTCATAATCCCTCTCCCTCTGTGCTTGCTGCCATACGACAATACTAAGCCCACCCAACAATGCTGAAGGATTAGCTCTCTGCCCTTTTCTTTGGGCTCTAAGGGAAACAGAGAGGAAAAAGCAGGGTATAGAAAGAGAAAAGGCAAGTTGCGGGAGCACCAATGTAGAGACGGAGCGTGGGTTTGGGTGCGAAGCGGGCTTGAAAAGGGGAAGAGACAAACAGCTCGAGAACAGATGAATGATATTTGATAGCTTTGGCTGGTTGCGTTTCTGAGACCATTGTGCAAAATCCCTGGGAGATCGCTTCCACACAAGATAGGGGAGACAATTCAGGACTGACAATGACACCAGAGTATAAATCATCGCTGGTGAGTCAAAGATGGCATGCAGTGTCAGAGGGAGCAGCTGTGTGTGTGTGTCTAACACGTGGCTGAATGCATGATATGTGAGGTGAGACAATGTGTGCAGTGAGAACTAAGCGTGTGTGTGTGTGTGTGTGTGTGTGTGTGTGTGTGTGTGTGTGTAAATGTGTGTGTAAACAGTTATAAAATGCAGAGGATGCCTGTAGGAGCATGAGGGC